AACCTTTTTCTTTTCAAATGAAACCCCTGCTAAGCTTTCTCTACGGGCTTGGACACTTCCTGGTCAGCGCGTCCACCCCCAGCGGGGAATGTTGTGCGAGGAGACGGGAGGGATCGAGCCCTCCCCGGGTCAGGCCCAGTCCCCGCTCCGCTCTGACCCACCTGTACCCGCGGTTGGAGGTCCTGGGCGGGATGCGATAGACGTGAACCTCCGGCTTCACACAGATCACCGACTCGTAGCCGCTGCTGTCCGCCATCTTTGTCCCAGTTGCACAAACACACAGCGCGCCGCCAGCGAGCGCGCCGAGCCCGTGAGAGAGCGCCCCCTGCCGCCCGGGGGGACTCACGGCGACACAGCAAGCTCGGATTGAAAACGCGTTATAATAATTCGCGTTTATATACCTGTGTCTCTCCACTCCCCTTGTAGCCCAGATCCTCAGCAAACAGTAGCACATCTCCCAGCTCAGCCTCTCCAGGAAAACATCAAACCTGAGACACCTCCGTAACGTGAAGGAAAACATGAAGGACGACAAAACTACAGCATTCGTTTATTTTTTATTAAAGGGCTTTTGAAGTATTTACAGGCTGCTCTGCATTGGTGGTTTTGTTTGGGTAGAAACCGGAGGTTTCACTCAAACCCTACAGCAAAATCGGAGATATTAAACCACAATGTTCCCAACTCTGAGTCTGCACGCCCCCCTCCGGACTGTCACACCGGCAGACGGGAACCCCATCACCAGGGCATCGCACTGGGTGTCCCCCCCAAAAAAAGAGACTGTCCAGGGCTGTTCACCCAAGTCTACACCAGTGACGCCTGGTGCTGTTGTCTCCCGGCCAGCTCCCTGGGTAACTGGCAGCGAAGACAGAGGACCCAGCGGGGGCAGACGCCTCTCACCCGGAGCATCGGTCCTGCTGCCACAGAGGCGCCCGGTCTTGGGCTTCACACTGGGGGCAACACTGCACCCCCACACTCTGGATCACAACACAGGGCGCTGCGCCTCGAGTGTTGCTGGCAGTAACAGAGCTGGGTTGGAACTGGGGTCAGGAGCAGGGGCTTCCATGACAATGAGGCTCACCTGCAAGCTTGCCGTTTTGGGGACACCCCCCTCCCCACATACACAGCTCTTTAAAGCCAGGCACTAAGGAGAAACAAAATGGGAATCAGTTCCGCCACAGAGTTGGGCTCAACTCGAACCCTGAACCCTGCTGTCCCCCATCTCACCCCTGCAGCCGGACTGCTTCACTGATCCGTTCACTTAACACACACGTTCTGCGCTTGAAACCAGTTTTTAAACTGCTCTCTGCTCTGAACCGTGTTTAATTACCATTAAAAAAAAAACACTAGAAGCTTCAAACGCGCAAACAGGTTGTTTTTTTTTGGTAGGAATGAAAAAATAAAAATGTCTAATTAAGCAAAATGACTGTCAGTTGAAGTTCTGTTAGGTCTTGGAGCACCAGGAGAGCAGGAGGGCTGGGGCTGCTGCTTGGAGTGAGGCGTCAGTGCAGCAGAGGGCTGGTCAGCTACAACACACAAGTCACACGTCCACAGGCCCCTAGCTGCACCCCTATTCTACAGACCTCCCCATCACCCCCATGACCTCCAGCGCCTCCCCCGGGCTCCAGCACCTGTCTGGGGGCCGATTCCACCCCCTCCAGGTTCCACAGCCGCTCACTACATCACCAGCACCTCGCAGTGACCCCCCAGCAGGGCAAGCCCAACAGGCCCCACCCACACGCCAGGCGATCGCGCCGCGACCCCAGCCAGCGCCGGCACGCCCCTCCGGCCCGCAGCCCGGACACTGCCCCACCGGGACCGGCAGACAGACCGGAGCGCCGCGCCTCGGAGAGGCCAGACAACGCAACAGCCTGTCCTGAACACAAAGCGCAGGGAGTGATACAGCACACCAGTCCTGGAGGACAGAGAGTGAGTCCCCCCACATTCAGACTGACCTCTGCCCTCTCTCCCTCAGTCTCTCACCCCTTTAATCTTCTCTCAGGCTGTACATATTTACAAAGCAACTTTTTTTCATTTTCCGTGTTTTTTTAATAATTAAAACTAGTTTTTATTCACTACCAAAAACAGCTTTAAAACCGACTGATTCGACTGGATGAATTATTCACGTATGGTCATTTGTAGGCGCTTTCGTGTGTATTTTCTACTTTTTAAATACAAACGGGGGAAAGACTCTGGGAGCAGTAGAATAGAAGAAATTAAAAGTAAAGTCAGAATCACAAGGGACCCGTACAGAGTGGACACTGAATAGAACTCTCCCCTCCCAGAACAAAAAATAAAAACTGACCGAAAGACTTGCAGAAAAAAAGAAATAAATGAAGACAGAATATAACAGCAAAATAAACGGTCTGATGGCTTAGGGAGAGGAGACATGTTTCATGACCAAGACTGACACTGTTATTGCTGGGAAAAGCTGGCAACCCTGCCTTCCTCTGCTTCACTGGGCTGAGCTTTACCCCTCCCTCCCTCCCTCACTCTCTCTCACACTCTCACTCCTCGCCACGTCTCTCGGAGCCAGAGGTCCGCAGGGCCTGGGCCTGGGTCTGGATCCGGGGCCGACCCGATCTGGCCCGGACAGGGTGCCAGTCACAGTGGGCCAGGTGAGGAGCGCGGGAGGAGGGGCGGCAGGGCGGGGGGGTGAGGTCACAGTGAGCAGAGTCCTGAAGACGCGGCGTCTTCGTCATCACAGTGTGTCAACTGGGTCAGCGATCGCCCCCCAGCTCCTGCCCCCCTGCCCTGGGAGGGACAGCCACATGGGGCGGAGGGGAAGGGAGGGGGGCTGCAGGGGTACACAGTGCAAGGGGACCTCCTCTGATTCCCCACCCCCTCCTCCCTCCCTCCCGGGACCTGCCCCCCCCCGCTCCCCCCCCTCCCCAGTCCCTCTCTCCCTGTCTCTCCCTCTCTCTCCCCCCCCCCTCCCGCCTGCAGGGCAGCGTGGTTCCGGGGCGCCTCGCTCCTTCGCTCTCTTCCTCGCCCCGCGGCGCCGGCCTCTATCTGCGCTGCCGGAAGCCCTGTGTGCCGTCGGGACCGGCGGGCTGCCGGATCACATGGTTGTGCGGCCGGGACTCCTCCGGGGGGCCCGCGCTGACTCGCACCAGCCTGCGGGACGGAGAGGGGTCACACAGACGCGGGCCGCGCATGAGGGACAGGGGTCAGAGGTCAGAGCACGTGCAGGCGCCGCAGGTCCTGCCCTCGCTGTCGGCTGAGCTCCGAATCAAGACCGCAGCTCTGTGGCCCGAATCCAGAGCGAACCCTGGAGCAGGGAGCTGGGAGAGCCTGGCGCAGGAGAGAGGTCCTGCATGTCTGTGTGCCCATGTGCCGGTGAGCACGTCTGTGTGCCAGTGAGCGTGTCTGTGTGCCCGGGTGCCGATGGGTGAGTGAGTGGGTGAGAGTGTGTGTGTGTGTGTGTGTGTGTGTGTGTGTGTTTGGCACGCCCGTGTGCCGGCGCCGTACCTTTCCGTGTGCACCACAGAGGCCAGCGCTCTCTCGGGCTCGTCCTCCGGGCTGGCGCTGCCCAGGATGCGGCGGCGCGCCTCTGCGTACTCCGCCTCCCGCTGCGCCAGGGACTTCACCTGCGGCAGGGGGCGCTGCGCGGCCTGGGAGGCGCCGAGGGACCCGTTACTGGAGGGGCGCTTCAGAATCCGGATCTGAGGAGGGGGCGCGGCCGGGAGAGAGTCGTCCTGGATAACGATCGCCGTCTTCAGGGGAGATCTGCTGGACTTCCTGCGAGGGACAGAGGCGTTAGGAGGACATCCCGGCCGAGCTGACGCACCAGCTGGTGTCTCCGAGAGAGGAAACAGAGCGATACAGGGGGAGTGTGGCGAGAGAAAGGACTGATGAGAGAGAGGGATCTAAGGGAGGAAGAGAGGAGGAGGACAGCTGTTACTCCTGCGGCTCCACTCACTTCTCCTTCTGGCTGATCTTCAGCTTCTCCTCCAGCCTCCTGTCTATCTCCTGCGTGGAAAGAAAGCAGGCTGTAAACACGGCGGGACAGACCCGTCACGCGCCCCGGAGACCAGAGAGCGCGAGGCGCGGATCAACATTACACAGCGGGCTATTTCTGTGTGTTGAGAGGCAGCCAACAGCAGGGACAGGCTGCCGCTGAGAGAATCGCTTTCGCCCCCTAACGATACTGGGTAGGACCCCACAACTGACCTGCTGCAGGGCTCCGAAACCAACTCTATCAGTGGGGCTGGTTGCAGAAGCATTGACCGTTATTTTAACTTCACAAATTTGCAGAAACTCCTTTGGTCAGACAGCGTTCCAGAAGAGAGCGCAGCAGGCTTGAAATCCTCACCGTTTAGTTTGTACCTCAACCCAGCACCTGGTACATCCCAGCCTGAAGCAGACCACTGTGCTCTGGGAGTCTGACTGGCCACACTGTAAAGCCTGGAGTGGATCGCACTGCTGTGCACTGGGAGTCTAGTCAGCAGCTCTTTACTGTACTGACTCCCTCTCAAAAAATAGAAATCACTGATCTAACGCCACAGATTCAACTGTAGAAAAACAGCATCTCGACCCTATCAAGTACTTCTGAAACTTATTAACGCGGTATCTTCAATAACCTGCTGTATGAACAAGACTCTCCGCATGACTTCGCGTCAGTGAAAACCCCCGGTTTGCTCACGCGTGACCCCGCGGGGCTCCGGGGAGGAAAGAGACCCCCCCTCCCCCCCAGAGCGCACACCCACCCCGAAATCACGGCAGCCCGAGCCCCGGGCCGGGACGGGACAGGAGGCGCTGCCCTCCCTGGCCGTAGTCGGTCTACTGGTCTCGCCATTAGTAATAAAAATACTCTTCTTTCCTCACCGCTGGACCAGCGAGGTTTCCTCTACGGTCCTCGCCTCCCGTCGCCCTCCGAGAGACAGGCTCTCAGGTCTCACACCCGACACCGACTCCAACGGCCGCACAACAGCCCCTCTCCCCCTGCCCCGGCAGAAGCCCCAGCCCCCTGCCCCTTTAAGCCGCGGCCTAGTTCCCCGCTCGGCGCCCCGGTGCTCTCCCCGGGCTGCGCTCCGCCTCCCCCCGCGACTCTCCCCCGCCGCCCCGCGTCCCCCAGCCCGGCTCCCAGGGGTGCCCCGGACCCCCAGGCGGGCACGGCTCTCACCCCGCTGTCTGCTGCTTCCTCCCAGCTCTCAGCAACCTCTTCATCTTCCATGTTCCAGCCTGCGGGACACACACTCACACACACATACACACACACCGGGGAAGGGTTCCGGGCTCTGCGCAGGCGCAAGCGCGCTCCCGGCGCCTACCTCACCGCCGAGACAGGAAACAGGAGGCGGGCGGCGCGCACGTCACTGCCCCGCGCACATGGTCCCGTACAGCCTGACTTCACATTTTAATCGACTTGATTCGTTTAATCACTCCTAGACACCATTTCCGTGACAGGATTGCGTAACCCCTTTCGGTCAGGTGCATTTAAGGCTGAGAAGAGAAGATCCTTCTTTACACAAAGGGTTGTAGGAGCCTGGAACAAGCTGCCCAGCCTCATGGATAAAGCCGATAGATACCCTGGGAATTTTCAGGAGAAAGTCTGGATGAGATTCTTGAGTCAGATGGGCTTATTAGCAGCGTATGGTCTGTGATCTGCAGCCGAACGGTTAGGCAGGAGAGGGGCCACTGGGCCGTCCGGCCCCTGAATCTCGCTGCCCTGAGAGACCCGGGGCCCAGCCACACCGTGTCACTGGGGCTGAGCTCCTCCGCAGAGTAAAACCCCCTTTCGAGAAACACAGGCACACGAATGGATCAAGTGTCTAATGTACCTCACTTGAAGAGCAGACCGAGGGCGGCAGGGGGCAGGGGGGCACCGGGTTCAGTTTGTGAGGTGCTGTCTGTGTGGAGTTTGGGTGTCCCCCCCCCAGAGACACACTAGCAAGTTAACTGCTATTGCCCCTGGCGTGTGCGTGTGCGTGTGCGTGCACCCTACCCTGCGATGGGCTGGCGCCCCCTCCAGGCTGTGCCCTGCCTTGCGCCCAGTGCTGGTGCCTCCGCCGCAACCTGGAGCTACTGCTGGTAGCAGACGGATGGAAGAGCAGAGCTGCAGGTCTCCTGCCGATCAGGCAGGTGCTGGAGGACGCCCCCCCCCCCCATTGCCTTCTGGGAAATGTAGTTCAATCATGAAACTCCATCTGGCCCGAATCTGCCCTCCTCTCGCACCCCAGCTCGGCTCTGTGAAGTTGCTGCCCCCCACCTGAGATCTGGGAGGCTGCTCACCCAAGGCCCTGTGGTCGCCCCTCCTCACCTGCACTGCGCGCGCACACAACCGGATGTTGACCCTCAGAAACATCATCGGTCTTCCCGGGTCACGTGGTGACCAAACCTCCCGGGTCACGGGACCCGCGCGCAGTTAGACACGCCGCGAGGGCAGCGCCGGATCGCTTCTTGCCAGTGTTATTTACTTCAGTGAGGTATTCCTTTTCAAAATGAATATCAGGTTGTGGGGAAACTGCTTTTAAGATGTCGTGTCATTCGTCATTGTAACACTGTAACTGTAAACACACAACACAGGTCACTGCAAATGTTTTTTTCTCTAAATTGTATATTTAAATTAGCTGTGGCTGACGTTAAACAATAGCAAACCCTTACGCCATCACACAGCGCAGCGCCTGTCGGCTCAGGTCTCTGCTGGAGGGAAGACAGAAAGCGACGCACCCGGGCGCGTTCACATCCCTTGTACGAGCTCGCCCCCGGCGCGGCCGTGAGCGAGGCGTGCGCGTCTCCCGGTTGGGGCGCGCGGAACGGTGATGCTGCTGAGGAGGAAGATGGCGGCGGAGTGGAGTCTGGAGAGCTGCTGCGGGCACTGAGGGAGCGAGAAAGACACCGGAGAGAAAGGAAGGGATACAATAAAGGCACGCCAGCGACCACACACACCGCAGCCCAGTCACCGCCTCCGGCAAACCGGCGTCAGGAGCGCTCGCTGCCCTCGCAGGCTCTTCGGGGGAGCCGAGAGAGGGACCTCAGGAGCCCCCGGTCCGGAGCGCCTGGGAGCTGGGAGGAGACTCGCCGAGCAGCCGGCGGAGGGAGAGGCTGAGCCACACCGGGGAGCCGCGGCCCGGAGAGGAGGTAAGCAGGATTGGGTGTTGCGCCAGGACCCCTCCTCAGCCCCGCCAGTCCGGTACCGCCGCGGCCGGCCCGGCTGCTGAGCCCCCCGGAGACCCCGCTCACTGACGGCCTTGGTCGTTGTCGACCGCGTACTGCATCATCATCATCATCATCATAATCATTTCCATCGTCCGCCGACAGTAATCTGGGGTGTTCGGGGTGCGAGCTGTCTCCCGGGTGAACAATGGCAAACGGCGAGTCGACTTCGCTGCGCTTCACGGTCCACATCCTCATCCTCCAGAGCTGCTGTGGTGGACGTAGCTGCTAGCTTTCTCTTCCTCTCAGATGAGTTGTTTTTGTTCCTGGTGTGATAAGTAGATGCTCCTTCCCACCAGACAGGTGGTACAATGAGGGCGTTTGCTTCTGGTATAAACGCATTTCAGCTCCCCGAGGCGCGCAGGTCGGTCCTTTCCTGCCTCTGTCCGGTCCAGCTCCCTCTGACCGCCTCGGCGGACGTTCCCTGGGGTCCAGTGTGCGGCTCTGTTCCTGGAGGCCAGGAAGCCGGCGAGTTAGCGGGGTCGGTGTTTACTGCCCGAGGGGGTGTGGGGCAGGAGCTCTGCCCGTGGGGCTCTGATGCCTGTGCGAGCACACAGCTAGTGACACTCTGATATTGCCTCCACCAGCACTGAGACACAGGCTCGGAGACCTTGAGGCGCAGGCAGACAGGGTCCATGAGCACCCGTCTCTCTGGATCTGGGGCTGCCCCCAGGGTAGACAGAGGCTGAGCGCTCTGGGGGCAAGTGAAGAACTGCTGTGGCACCTAGTGGATAAAACTGAGCTGGAGGCTGTATGTAGGAAATGCAGTTTGTTTTCTAATTAACATTGTAGTTTTGAGACAATGCCTGAAGTAGATCAGATTGCTGTGAGAATGGAGTCTGATCTGTACAGAGTTGCCCTCATTGTAACAAC